AGTTCTAACGTGATCTAATCTTCACACGTGTGATTCCCAGCACGGATCTGTCATTTTGAACACACAAAGACACGCAAAAAGCGTGTCATACAAATCATTCAGCGATGGCGGAGCTATCATAAGGAGCTCAGTGCTGCAAAACCGGACCTGCAGCCCAGGCGCACCCGGGAAGGAGAACACTATTTTCCTTCGGTGCCGGCCGTGGGTCAACAGGGCTAACCATCTGGTAGACCAAAAACTTGGTTCCTGGTAATAGAGAAAGGGGTCCCTAAAATCGACCCGCTCGTAGTGGTCAGAGGCAACGTGGTGGGGCCCATAACGATGATTTGCCTATCGATGACAACCCTGGCAATGACACCGGATGCTTTGAGTGGATGCATGAGCTAAGAGATAACCTTATGCATTGCTACGAGAGAATTGAGCCCGCGCGAAGGGGGTACATGGCGAGATTGCATGCTCTGTGGTGTGAAACACATCCGGAGTATGCCGCCTTTTCCGTCCAAAATCTCAGGAATTACGTATCCTATCTTCGGCGGCAGGGCTATTTAGCTCCTTTCCAGCCTGCTAACGAAGTGACAGTTCTACCACCCGTTGGCACGGCTGGAGAGGAGACTCGCATCATGCCGCCAATGGAGTCAATCACAACACGCAGGGCTCTCCACAGAATTAGGCCCCTGAAGCCACAAGAACTGACTTGCTTGGATGCGGAGGTTCATAGTGTTCCAACAGAAGAGGCTGATATCTGGCAAATCAACACCGCCCTGTATAGCACCGTCCAATCGCTTTCCGAATCGGAAGGACGAAATCCAGGCCTTGCGGTTCGGAAGATTGAACGGCGTCTACTCAAGATGGAGGCTAAGATCACGTCGGCGAGATAACACGCATCTCGTATCCAATGCGTGATGGATTATAGGACGGCCAATAGGCCTTTCACGCCCGCAGTGCGGAGAATAGCCGCCAAACACTTCAAGTCAAGGCGTGCTGCTGACCACTAAACAACAGAGCCTTGATAGGATACGAATGCTAGTGGCTGCTAAAAAGTCACTAGAGAGACGAGCAAGAAGTATCGAGAAAAACTTCAGGTTCCTCGAGAACCCTTCTCGCTTATTCCAAGAGCGTACACGGGTTATGGATAATCCGCCGCAAATAATAATAATAATTTCTCCGCGAGAAAACTTCTCGCTTATTCCAAGAGCGTACACGGGTTATGGATAATCCGCCGCAAATAATAATAATAATTTCTCCGCGAGAAAACTTCTCGCTTATTCCAAGAGCCTCCATCTGTTGTAGATATTCCGCCGACCGCTGATCAGGTGGAATCCTTCTGGAAGGAACACTCGCAGCCACTCAATTTAGACACTCCAGCCCTTGCGCAGTTCGGAGCTTCGACAGCTTGAGCTCAATGAACTACGCAACCCGATAACCCCGGATGACGTTCGAAGAGCCCTTGTGGGTTCCAAGAACTTTGCTGCTCCAGGCCCAGATTGGCTGAATACTTATTGGTGGAAAAAACTAACAAGCATCCACCGTTATCTGACCAGAGTTTTCAACTCATGGCTGGACGGAGAGCAGCCGATACGAGATTGGTTCGTCGAGAGGCGGACCGTTCTCACCCCCAAAAACGGAGATTTGTCGATTACTAAAAATTACAGACCGATAATATGATTGAATTCGTGTCATAAGTTGTTTACAATCATTTTACATACACGAATACTCACCGCAGTTGACGGAATGTTCGAACGGATATATAAGTAAAGAGAGTCGAAGAAAGGAGTCACTGAATATAAAGAGGGCCAGCTCATCGATAGAAGTGTAACACAGTACTCGATACAATATAAACGTAACCTCTCTATGGCCTGGATCGATTTGATACAATATCGCATCAGCTCATCTTGCATTTGCTTAGATGCATTGCCTTACCCGACAAAATAGTGAGATGCATTGAACAACGCATACCATTCTGGCGAACTCGCTTCACCGTAACATCTGGTCAAGCCAGAGTCCAAACAGGGTGGGTCACTTTCAGAAGGTGTGTATTTCAGGGGTATTCACTCAGTCACCTTCTCTTCTGCATCTCACTATTGCCATCATTCGTTTCTCTCAGAAATACCCGAGGGTATAACTGTGGCATCCCCGTAAACCGGAGGCACAAGATCAACAGTTTGTTTCATGCCCATGGAGAGAAGGATCTCCATCAATCCTTAAGGGTGGTGTAAGAGTACACGCATGCTATCGGTATGAAATTCGGGATAGACAAATGTGCAAATGGTGCATCTCAAAAGAGGACGATGCGGTGACTACACAGAGGATGTGCAGCTCGTAGATGAAAGCATTCTACACTATTTGGATGCCAAAGAGGCGTATAATTACCTCGGGGAGGAACAACGCCACTAATAAGAGGTAACAGCAGTGAAAAACTCTCTCCGCGGCGAGTATCAGCACAAACTGTCGGGGAAAAACAAAGTTTCTGCAACATATATGTTTGCCGTTCCAATTTTACTCTACTCGTTTGGGGTAATGCAATGGACTCAGGAGGAGGTGTATCAACTCGACGTAAATATCCGAGAAATGATGCATCTGTATAGGAGTTTGCATCCCAAATCGTCTGTTCCATAATTGTACTTCCCCCGACAACAGGAAAGCCCTGGAATTTTGAGTTTGGAGTATCTACATGACAGAATGGTACTGAATGTAGCCTGTTAAAACGTCAGGAGTTCGGATACCTTTTCTGCATGGTCCGCGACCATTAGATAGAACAGAAATTGGAGTCCAGATCGGATCAAAAACTTTAGGTATACAGGGCTTTTCATGATGAGTGATAATTAGCCGTTTCTGCCAAACATGAACTTTTATAAATGCTGATAATCTTGAACTCTCTTGCACTGAAACGATCAAATTTGAAATGGAGTGTAGTGATACTATGAGGATCTTCATTCCGAGTCATATTTTCATTTGCCTCATACAGGGTCTTCAAAAAATGCAGATACTTTGATCCCATGAAAAAATGAGTGAAACTCAATTTTTTCAAATGAAACACCCTATATATTTCAACATTTTTGAGCTCTAAATCCAATTTTAGATTAACTTCGTTCAGATAATACTATTTCTATTTCCAACCGTTTTCGAGATAAACTGTTTCAAACGGAAACTGACCAAAAAATGAAGTACCAACCTTGGAAATGATTTGGTTTGAACTACTCGACTATCCCGATTACAATTACAAATCTTTGGAAACCCAGGAGGTGTCTTGTGGTTTCAAATATGAAAAATTGAACAAACGGATGGTCAAAATGGAATCGACACGCATTGTTCAACTCCGAAAAGAATATTTGAGGCGAATGAAAAGCTACCGAGAACCCAGCAGACATATAATCTACCTCGACGAAACTTGGTTTAACACCAATGATGTTGTCAAATATGGCTGGGTAGACGTAACCACGTATTATGCTCCGAACACACCTTCTTCAAGAGGAAAACGGGTTATAATTTTGCATACCGGGAATAAAAGTGGTTTTGTACCTAACGCTTTGCTTCTGTCGGCCAAAAATATAAAAGATTCGTCTGCTGAATAACACGAAGATATGACTACGGCTTTATTCAAAACCTGGTTCAGTGAGCAGTTTCTCCCAAATATTCCTTCACACTCGGTTATTGTTATGGATAACGCTTCGTATCATTCTCGGTTATTGAATACAGTACCAAACAATAATACAAAAAAAGCAAATGTTGTTGATTTCAGGTGAAATCATGACATGGAAATACTCGAAAAGGTTCCAACGAAAGAGGTATTACTGGCGACCATAAAACAACGTTATTTCAAAAAAGAGTATATAATTGATTCAATGTGTGAAACATTTGGTCATATTCTCTTACGTTTGCCTCCATACTATAGTGTGATCAATCCAACTCAAATGGTTTGGGCCACAATGAAAGAAAGCTTGCGGAAATGTAATCAGTCACCGACTTTGAATGCTGTGGTGCTTGACAATATAAGGCGAGTGGTGAATGAAGTAAGTGATAGTGATGTGGAAGAACTGTGTGGCCTACGTTATAAAACAAGAGAACAAATATTATGTGCAAAGTTCCATAAATCCGATCGTTATTCAATTCAACCCAATGATGATTATACCTCATCCGAATATAGCGAAGAAGAATTTTTATTTTTCTAGCAATTTTGTTGGCCTCTATTATTTTGTAAATATATGTTTGACGGGAAATCGGTGTGAGTGTTTGTGTTTTCATTGTATTTCAGAGTTTTCGACTCGGAAATCAACTACCTTGAATTTCGAAGGTTTTCATAATCACCCATGATGGAAAAATTCAGTTGAGATAACCTTTTCATGGGGTGATCAATTGCTATGATTGTAAGAATAAGTAACTGAAAAACTATTACTGAAAAGTAATATGCCGACGCCTATGTCGAGGCGGGAATTCCTTCTCTGTGCTGTTCGAATTGATATTGGAAATACTGTAGGACTGTTTATATTTTCAAATTTCGCGTTGACGTTTTGGGATTATTTTCAACAGCTCCTAAAACACCTGTTTCTTCCAACTCCTCATTTCTATTTGATTCATATTTTTTTGGGCTTTTCCACCATCAATCAGGTTGTGTCGGAATCTTGCAAAATTGTCAATTGTTCATATGTTCTGACATTCTAACTCATAATTCTTCATTTCTTCCCATTTTGCTTATATCATTTCGCAAATAGATCATTCGAATGTTCAATATTTTTATCATAACTGATATTTCATTCATTTTTACTCTTTGATGATTTCAAATTCCCGACTATTTTTTCAAACAATGGAAATATTCATTACGATGGACATTGACATAAGGTAATCAAAAGAGCAAAGAGATTCATTCAAGTGAGGAAAATTCACTATCATTTTGAAATAACCTACTTGGTGATGAATTGTTTTTTACAATATTTGACCAAACAACTCACTAGTTGGGTGAGGCTCTCAACATGACAAGTGAAACCAGATTACTTTTATAGCATATAGCAATTCAGAGCTACGGAGAAAACTCTATATTTTGATGTTCTTTCCTCTTTTCAGAAAAAATATCTACAGATTCCAGAGGTATCTGCACAGAAGGCTACTTTCAATGTGCGAATGATACTTTATGTGTAGCCCAAAATCAAATTTGTGATGGCGAATCCAACTGTCCTATGGGAACTGATGAAGAGGATTGTGGTGAGTATGTTAACGATTCTGGTTCCTTCCTGCTGGGTATTTCTTTCATACTCTCCACGTTGGAAGTCTAGTGACACTTGTGAATATATCTGGCATATAGTAGTCGAAATTCAACCTTCGATTGATGACCTATTTATTTTGTGGAAATTCATATTGAATACAGGATAAAAAAAATAACTTCGGTCGGATTTCCACTGAATTTTTATCCATCACGACTCATATCGGTTTCTTGAAAATCTTTTTTTTTATATTGGCATTTTTTCTATGATCTATGAAAAAAACATCAATTGTGTCACCGTCACACTTTGAAGGGGACAAAAAAGAAATTGAATAGACGATTTTTTCATAATAATGAAACAAACTCTCATCTGCAGTTAATAAATTCAAAATATTCACTAAGCCAGTATGGATAAAAAAAAATTCAGGCACTAGTATCTATGAGCACATTTAAAACTTTCTGGCCATGGGCCACAAATTGAGCATTGAACCCATCGTTGATGGGACATTTTCAATAAAGGACCTTTTATTTGAAGGTGGCTGACAACACCCATGATGCTATCTTTTCTTTGTCATATGCCGTTTATGGAAACAATAATAAATAAGAGTAATCAGCAGCAGTGTTCTGTGGCTTTGCTAAAATCTTTGACTGTGTAGATCAGGGGTCTCCAAACTACGGCCCGCGGGCCAAATCCGGCCCGCCAGTGTCATCAATTCGGCCCGCCAGTGTCATCAATCCGGCCCGCGACAGCCAATGATTTACTATCATCAATCTGGCCCGCGACAGCCAATGATTACCTGATTGTTGTTACTATTGCTGAGGAAGAAAACACAGAATGATATTTACTTGGTTTCATTTACTTGCAAGGTAAAACTTAACGACAGAAATGATGACAAAGAAAACTCAACTCAAGTATCTAAGTTTAAGCATATTAATAACTAACAAATAATTTAAATGAATCACAGTAAAACAAAAACACTGATGAGATTAATGTAATTAAGATTTTCCACCGACAATACTTTGTAGTTGTAGATCAATATTACTTGTACCAATTATTAAAAGAGATTTAAGATGCTCATCGGTTAATTGAGATCTGTAAACATTCTTTGTGTACTTCATCTTGGAAAACGTTTTCTCACACAAGTAAGTAGTACCAAAAACAGAAAACAACCCACGAGCAAATTCATGCAAATTAATAAATTGTTCCAGTGGAAGACTCTTATAAAATTCCAATAAAGATGAATTTTGATATTTGTTCTTAAGCATATCACTGCACCGTAAATCAATAGATTTCCATTTGGACTTCCGGAGCCAGGGTTTCAATGTCAGTATCAAAAGGATTTTGAAAAAGCTTAATTTCATTCGTAATGACATCAAAATCTGAAAAACGAGTATCAAAATTTATCTTCAAAGCACTCAAAGTTTCGATTGCAAAATTGACGGGAAATTCAGTCTCTGTAGTGTGGCTGAATATTTCACATGTTTAAAAATGTGTGAATTTTTTACGTAATTGCGATTGAAATAATATTATTTTCTGCCTGAAGGATTTGATATTGGTGTATAAATCAGGGAGAAACTGATTTTCTCCTTGAAATCTCAAAGTCAGTTCGTTCATATGAGTTGCCAAATCGACAGAGAAGGTTAACTTCCACATCCATTCACTATTTTACAAATTGGCAAAAGGGCGCTGCTTCTTTCTCACTTAAAAAAATTTCGATCTCTGCTCGAAATTCAAAAAAGCGCTTAAGGACTTTTCCGCAACTAAGCCAGCGTACGGCAGTATGATATGGTAAATCATTTTCTCCAATCTGTTGAATAAACTCGCGGAATTGTCGGTGATTCAGCCCGGTGGATCTGATGAAATTAACAACTGATATGACTGGTTTTAGAACTTTAAACATATCCAAACATTTTCCGCACAAGGATGAATGATACAATGTAAGATTAATGGTTTTGAACCACCATCATTTTCTACAGCCTTTGACACAAGTGCAACCACTCCTTTATTTTTACCATACATATTTTTGCCTCCATCAGTTGTTATACATTTCAAATTTCTCCATCGAAGGTTCTTTTTATTAATGGCATTTTCAACTCCCTAAAAAATATCTGCCCCAGTTGTCGTGCCGTGAATACTATAAATATCAAGATGTTCTTCATACACTTCATAGCTTTTATCTATTCCGCGAATGAAGTCAACACCTGAGCAGTATCTGATACATCCGTTGACTCATCCAATGCTAGAGAAAACTACTCATGATGTCCATTTTTGTCAGACAATTGAGGTGATATATTTTCTGCGATGTCTTGCACTCTCCGAGCCACGGTGTTTGCTGACAAACTGACACTTTTGAATAAATTTACCTTTTCGAGGCATATTTCTTCGGCTACTGCAATCAAGTATTCTTTCATCATTTCTCCATCGGTGAATGGTTTGCCACGTTTTCCGATTTCAAGAGCAACACGAAAGCTGGCGCGAGTTGCAGACTCTTGTTCAGTATTCGCTTTGGTAAACAAAGATTGCTGCGATTTGAGTCCGCGTTTCAAAGCTTCAAATTTTTCCTTCCGCAAACTTCTTGTACTCTTGGAGTAACTTTGAAGATGTTTCGATTCATAGTGTCGTTTAATGTTATAGTCTTTGAGTATAGCTATGGTTTCATTACAAATTACTCATAGCGCTTTATTACTGGACTCAATCACAAAATACTGAAAGTTCCATTTTTCTTGGAACGTTCTGCATTCACTGTCGATTTTCATGTGCCCTGAGCAAGCACAGTGAGCTGAATTTGTGCGGCTAAGATTTCTGCCTCAGTGCGGCAAGCCAGTATATTTATGATATTTGAGAGTAGAGAGGACATCATTTCACCAAGGACTCCAATAATCAGAACAATATTCTTGACAGAGTGATCTGCATAGAGTCTGCGGAGTTCGAAGACAAAAATCACGATAATTTATCCGTTTTTCCTCCTCTTTTCTGACGATATTTGTCTTACCAGGAGCTCCACGATAAATATCGTTTTGCTCTGGTGGTCAAGAAGGACTACATCAGGCTTATTAGCTTGTATGAGCCTGAGGGTGGGGAACGAATAGTTCCAATAAATTCGGCACTTCCTGTTCCCCACAACGGATTCAATATCCCCCGCAGCGTAGGGCAACAGCAGTGTCTCGTCAATACCGTAAGAGTGCTGTAGATGGTAATATAGCACTCTTAGGGCTGCGTTATGTCGATGGATATAAGCCGAGACCGCACATGCTGATAGCAAGTGCATTAGGGTCTTGGGCGATTATTATTATTATTATTATGTTTCGTAGTGTATTTCATCAGTTCGTACTTTCATTGTTTGATATAATATAAATTGATTTGAAATCCCTGAAAGATATCAAAAAGATTAACAAAAAAATAACAATTCCATTAAACAGAAAACTGAAATTACAAAGAGATAACATACAAGCAACAACCAAAAAAATTAAAAAAATTGAAAAGGTAATACAAGCAGAAAATTGAAAGAATCAAAAAAATATTAATAACAAGAAATGAAAGTAGGAAGTAAAAAATTCCAAACCAAGTTACGTCATGACGTTTCGATTGTTAGTATCCACAATTGTCTTCGGGTGATAACTGGACTTATTCCTTCAAGATCTGACTATTTATAGGTCATTCAAGTGCTTTTACCTATCCCCTCTGCCCTCTCTCCTTTTCATTGGTTTCTGCAGGAGATGACCTTTTGGCGGTAGTTGGTCGTTTTCCGTTTGATGACAGGTTTCCATATGTTACGTGTCTCTACGCTAGCTTAGCTAAATGCGTTGTTGAACAACATATACGCGGCTTCTTTGAATCTTCCCCTTAACCAGTGTTCTTCCTTGTGGATGATTTCACCTTGAGCTCACTTGATATTATGTCGATGAGTCCAAACATGCTCTGATATTCCGGATTTGCTGGTTTCTCCTCGCTATGTGTGTTTCTTGTGCTCAGCAATGCGAACTTTCAATGGCCTCTTAGTTTCACCGATGTATGATTCTCCGCACTCGCAGGGTATCCGGTAAATGCAATTCTTGGAATCACCGGGTTTGATGACCTGGTTTTTGTGAGGCTGCTGCGAATAGTATCTCAAAATCTGAAGCAGGTTCTGATGTTATACTTGGACCCAATCCTTCTTATCCTTTCCGATAATCATCTGATGTAGGAAAGTGCAAGTACTTGTTGTGGCGGCTTCTCTTCCTTGTGGAGTTCTTGCTGTCTTCTAGCTAAGGCCTGTTCTACCATCACTCTGGAGTAACCATTTCGTTGAAAGTCATTTTTGATGATGGCTAGTTCCTTTCCGAGACCTTCCTTGATATTATAGAGCCCGAAAGCACGGTCTAGTAAAGTCTTGATGATTCTTCTCTTAGTGGTTGGATTTCTGGTTCAGGTACTGTCCTGTGTGAGTGGGTTTTCGATATACCTATGTTTTCCATTTGGTGAAGAGGATCGATACTAGTTTTGGTGAATCATCACTTGGGTGCAAATGTTTGCGAACCTTTCGTATCTTAATTTTCAAAACTAGGCTGAAATATCGTGGGAAAACCAATGTTTTCTCCATATTTTCTCAATGTTCATTCTGAGTGGGCGGTCCTTGTACTGGAGCTCGTGAAATTCAAAACTAGTTTTGTTTCACGACGACTTCGCCTATGCATCGTGAATAATGGACACCATTTTGAGCATTTATTGAAATAATAAACTATTAAGATTCTCAATTTTTTGATAAAATGACTTCAAGAATGCTTTTTTTCTGCTTTTCATAACAATACAGGGTGTTCCATTTTTAAGATGAAAAAATTACTTATAAGTAAAATATAAAAACGCCTTTTGTGTGAAAACCAGAAGAGATAGGTATAGGGAACCCTAATATAGTTTTGAAGGGAATCTACTTTTGCGTGAAATTACGCCACCAAATATGGGGTGTTCCTTTCAACTTCAAGAAGTTGTTCAATTAAATGTATGTCCAAATTTTGAGGTAATTTT